TAGCGTTGTTAGTTGCAGGGGCAGATTGAAGTTTGTTCCTTGTTGGAACATGGAGATGTTGTTCCTTGTTGGAACATGTTTACTTGTTGGGATATCACAATATATCTTATTTAATTAATGCATCTATATACTTGGTAAAGGGTGGAAGGCTCGGCCTTATGCCTGGTGTTTTGCTCCACTCTTGCCGCCCTAGTTTCCGTCATATCGGTGTTATGTTCTCGGATTTTGCGTTCCTTATGCGGTTGGGCTATAATGGGAACCCCTTGACAGTTCGCCTTGAAAAAACTCTTCCAGCAATGCCCAACATTGGTTTTACCATTCACGACCTAGCCTTTTCTTTCCCTTGGGTTCTGCAGACTCAAGGGTCATCATTATTTTACCCCCACGGGCCAGTGCTCCTCTTAGTGTTGGTCCAAACTGTCAGCTGCCGGTGGCCACCAGGGGCAACTCTGGGCTGGCCTACCCGTACCTAGGACAATCTGAGTGTGCCCTAAGAAAGAGATATGTGCAGCTCCTATCGGGATTTGTCGGCACATTCGGGTGGTGTTGCTGGTTTAGTTTTACCTTGTCGAAATGTCTTGTAACCGGGATTCCGAGTCTGATCGGGTCTTACCGCTAGAAGGAATATCCTTTGTTAACCCTGAGAGCTTGTGATGGGCTAAGTTGGGACACCCCTGCAAGGATTTGAACTTTCGAAAGCCATGCCCGCGGTTATGGGCAGATGGGAATTTGTTAACGTCCGGTTGTAGAAAACCTGAAGTTGACCTTAATTTAAAATACGTCAACCGCGTGTGTAACCGTGATGGTCTCTTTCCGGCGGAGTCCGGGAAGTGAACACGGTGTTGGAGTAATGCTTGTCGCAGGTTGTTCTCTAGTTATTTGTTCGCGCTTTGCCTTCTCTTCTCGCTCTCTTTTGCGAACAGGTTAGCCACCATATAAGCTAGTCGCTTGCTGCAGCTCCACATATTACCTTGCCTTACCTATAAGCTTAAATAGTCTTGATCGCGAGGGTGTGAGATTGCTGAGTCTCCGTGACTCACAGATACTTTCAAAACCAGCTTGTAGGTGCCGATGAGTCCGTGCAGATGACGCAACCAAGCTTAGGAGGAGCTCAATGAAGATCTTGTCCTTTGTGTTGTTTCGTTCTAGTTGATCAGTAGTGGAGCCCAGTTGGGGTCGATCGGGGATCTGTGTAGCATTTGGGGTAGTCTTCTTTTATTTTAGCTCCGTAGTCGGGCCTTGATTGTATCTGGATGATGTAATGCTTTATTCTTGTATTTGTGTGAAGTGGTGATTGTAAGCCAACTATGTATCTCTTTCCCTTATGTATTACATGGGTTGTGTGAAGATTACCTCACTTGCGACATTGCTTTCAATACGGTTATGCCTCTAAGTCGTGCTTCAACACATGGGAGATATAGCTGCATCGAGGGCGTTACAACTAGGCAAACCATAGTCAAGTATTCAATGAAGTGAAAGCGCAATGACTAATAGCAGCTAGGCAATAAGGATCAGGTAGGAAGATATTGTGAAGCCAATCAAAACAAGTAATCACTCAGTGAAGCCAAATGGTGATGCAATCGTACAATGACTTCACAAGGACCAACAGTAAGTAAAGGGAAGGGAAGGATGAAACCAGTGACTCGTTGAAGACAATGATTTGTTGGACCAGTTCCAGTTGCTGTGACAACTGTACGTCTGGTTAGGGAGGCTGAGATTCAACTCAGAAGACCTCGTCTTCACCTTATTCCCCTTGAGCTAAGGACACCCAGTCCTCGCCCAATCACTCTGGTAAGTCTTCAAGGTAGACTTCCAAACCTTCACAGACTTTGTTCACTGGCGATCCATAATGACTCTTGGATGCTCAGAACACGACGCCTAACCGGCTGGAGGATTCACAGTCCTCAAGTGTAATAAGTATTCAGATCACACAGATAGGAAGACTTAAGTGATGCCTAACACTCTTTGGCTCTGGGTGGTTAGGGCTTTATCCTCGCAAGGAATTCTCTCTCAAAGGCTTCGAGGTGGGTTGCTCTCAAACGACAAAAGCCGTACTCTAACTCTGAGCAGCCAACCGTTTATGGTTGTAGGGGGTGGGCTATTTATAGCCACTAGGCAACCCGACCTGATTTATCCGAAATGACCCTCGGTCACTAAGGAACTGACACGTGTTCCAACGGTCAGATTTCAAACACACACGACAACTTTACTTGGGCTACAAGCAAAGCTGACTTATCCAACTCTGGACAAGATTTGCTCTCATAGTCTTCACTCGAAGACATAGGATTTTGGTTAAACATCACTTCAGTCATTCTGACTGGTTCTCTTGGACCCCACTTAACAGTACGGTGGTTCCTATGACTCAACAAAAAGAAAAAAGAACGATGAAAGAACTAAGTCTTCACGCTCCATAGTCTTCATGCGATGTCTTCCCTTGTCATAGTCTTCAATGTGAATGTCTTCACATACCACCTTTGACTTCAATGTCTTCATTCATTTTTAGGGGTCATCTCTGGTAGGAAAACCGAATCAATGAGGGACTTCTACCTGTGTTATCCTACAATTCTCACAAACACATTAGTCCCTCAACTAGGTTTGTCGTTAATTCTCCAAAACCAACTAGGGGTGGCACTAGATGCACTTTCAGTAATTATTCCCCAGAGAGGATTGCGCCTGGGAGACCGCCTCTCACCTTACTTATTTTTGTTGTGTGCGGAGGGTTTCTCAGCAATGCTAAATGAAGCTGAAAGAAATGGGAGTATGAGAGGGATTAAATTATGCAGGGAGGCGCCAAGTGTGGGTCATTTACTCTTTGCAGATGACTCATTATTGCTCATTGAAGTAAATGCAGAGAATGCTCAGGTTCTCAATGACATATTGCACAAATATGAAGCTTTCTCAGGATAGGTGGTAAACAAAGATAAATCAGCCATCCTATTTAGTAAGAATACAAGTAGAGAGGAGAAAAGAGAAATAATGGAAATCATGAACATATCAACAGAAGGGATAAAAGGAAGATATCTTGGATTGCCACCTTACATTGGAAAGGCAAAATCAAGTGCTTTCCACTATATAAAGGAAAAAGTGTGGAAGAGAATCCAAGGTTGGAAAGAGAAGTTATTATCGAAAGCGGGAAAAGAGATCTTAATCAAGGCAGTAGCACAGGCAATCCCAGTATATACAATGGCTTGTTTCGACCTAACTAAGCCCTTATGTGATGACCTTAGTCCCATAATATGCAGATTTCGGTGGAGCCATATGGATAAGGTCAATAAAATCCACTGGACAAGTTGGGAGAAACTATCTAAACCGAAGAGAGTGGGAGGTTTGGGATTCAGAGACCTGCACTCTTTTAATATGGCCATGCTTGCAAGACAGGGATGGCGGCTACTGCAAAACCCTTCCTCTCTCTGTGCATGAGCACTTGAAGCGAAATATCATCTCGGCCGCAGCATAATTGAAACAACACCAAAGAATGGGATGTCTTATGCATGAGGCAGTATTTTGAAAGGTGTACAACTCCTAAATAAAGGCATAATTTAGCGAGTTGGAGATGGAAGAAATATTAATATTTGGAAAGACCCCTGGCTTCCAAGAGGCATCACCAGAAGAGTTATCACACTGCAAGGACGAAATTTAGTCACAAGGGTGGCGGAACTTATTGATCCAATAACTAATGGTTGGGACAAAGACCTAGTGTGCCAAACTTTCAATGCAGAAGATGCTAAGATAATCCTACAAATCCCCTGAGCATACAAAGGACTGTGTGGCTTGGCACTTTGACAAGAAAGGGATTTTTCTGTGAAGTTGGCATACAAAGTAGCAGTAGATTGGGAAGAAAGGAAATCAAGATATGGCCAACCACATCTAGCTCTGCAAGCAGAGGAGAAACAACTAATTTTGAATGGAAGAAAATATGGGCCTTACCTCTACCGAATAAAATTTTGCACTTCCTATGACGTATGGCAAAATACAGCTTACCTTTAAGAATGAAATTGAGGAATAGAGGTATGAAAGTGGATATTAGATGTCTAGTTTGTAACAGATATGATGAGGATGGGGGCCACTGCTTTCTGAAATGCAAGAAAGTGAGGAAGCTTTTCTAGCTAGCCAAAATGAAAGAAACTAGACAGAAACTTCTAAAAAGCAGTGACCCAATAAGTATGTTTGATGAGATATTTCGCCTGACCGTGGAAGATCGCATGAAGGTGTGTATTCTGTTCTCGGTGTGGTGGCATGAGAGAAATAATGCCAATGCCGGAGATCAGATGAAATCTCTAGATGATATAAATGCTTCTATTAACTACCATGTTCTTGAATACAGGAACCTTAAGAAGCAGAGCAGCAGCCAGAAACAAGATTCTACCATCTGTTGGTCTCCTCCCGCAAGTGGGATCCTAAAAAAAAACTGATGGTGCCTTTCATGAATCATCTTTGTCTGGTGGATGGGGTTTTACTGTCAGAAATGATAGTGGTGTGCTTATGGCAGCAGGAGCAGGAAATCTGGAACATGTATCCAATGCTCTCCATGTCGAAGCCCTTGCCATGTTATATGCAATCAGCACTACTACACAAATGGAATATAATCGTGTGATATTTGAAACAGACTCCGTGGTGTTGAAGCATGCGATCTCAAACGAGGAGTATGGCTTGTTGATTTTAGGTGTTGTGTTTCAGAAAATAAAATTTTAGTTGAATGTGGCTTTTGATGATGTAAATGTTAATGTTTGTTCAGGATCTTGTAATGTAGCAGCTCACGGCCCTAGCAGCACATGGTGTAAAATTAGGAGATGGTGAATATGAAACTTGGCTAGGCTATTTCCCTTGAGTTCTGTTGTAAACTCTGTAGCCGGCGATTCGGCCAGTCTAACTTTGTAATGGAATACAAGGTTGTTCCTTAAAAAAAAACTCAGTCACAGAAAACCTCCCCAAATTCAAGGGTTTACACATAAACCGCACACCGCCGCCGCCGCCGCCCAGACTCTCGTCTCCCGGTCGCGATGATGGTTCCACTCGATCCATGCAACAAGCCCACCTCGCAGCGCCGCATCACGGAGGGCGACACCGTCGTGGTGTACGAACGGCACGACTCGATGCGCGCAGTCACCGTCAGCGCCGCCGGCGTACTGCAGAACCGATTCGGCGTCTTCCGCCACGCCGACTGGCTCGGCCGCCACTTCGGATCCAAGGTATTCAGCAGCGGCGGTGTCGGGGGCAAGGGCGGTCGCAAGGCCGGCGGCGGGTTCGTCCACCTCCTCGCGCCCACCCCGGAGCTCTGGACCCTCGTGCTCAGCCACCGGACACAGATCCTCTACATTGCCGATATCAGCCTCGTGGTGGCATACCTCGAGCTCGTCCCTGGGTGCGTCGTGCTGGAGTCCGGGACGGGCAGCGGTTCGCTCACCACCTCGCTAGCCCGCGCCGTCGCGCCGCACGGGCGCGTGTACACGTTTGATTTCCACGACCAGAGGGCAGACTCGGCAAGGTAAGCAAACACCTGAGGGCTAATTAACATCTCAGAGGTGATTGTCTGCTTGCTTCACAAATCAAAGCTCAGGAGTCTCTACGAGATTCGATTTAGACTACTATGTGGAAACTAACAACCTTACCTGTGCAGCATAGTTTTTGGATCTGTTTTTACATTACAGAGCATGGGAACAATGCACAAGAAGGATGATTTTGATATTATTTCCTGCATGGGTTTTCTGAACTTGTTTTGCAGTATATAGAACTATTAGTTTGTAAATGAACAAGCTTAGATATGAGAACAGATACAGTCAGAAACAATCTATCAAACATCTGTGACATGGTATTGGATACAAACATACAATAGATTGGCCTGCAATTACAAATAAGATATACAAGATTTAAGAAAACCCATGCTTTGTTGCCTAAAAACTGTCCATGTCTTTGCAACATCTAGGGTTTTATCAAACTTTCAAGGGTGACCACTTAAACGGCACAAAGATATGACTTCAGTATCACTTCTTTTTCAAGCAGCACTTGCAACTCAGAGTACAGTGACATCAATTGAAGTACAATTGTATGATTTCATAGGGGGCAGCCCGGTGCACATAGCTCCCGCTTGTGCACGGTCCGGGGAAGGGTCCGACCACTTTGGGTCTAGTACGCAGCCTTTCCCTACATTTCTGCAAGAGGCTGTTTCCAGGACTCGAACCCATTACCTCATGATTTCATAAATAATGCAAAATATATTTTACAAGAGCACAGAAGCCTCTGGCTAGCTACTACCTATCTTTGCGGTAATAGATAGTATTTGTGATCATTTAACATGTGAGCGCAGTAGCCTCATGGAGCATCTGGAAGGAGAGGAACCGGGGAATATTCATGGCCCAAAAGATGTTCCACTGTGAGGTGGCGCATCTTGCTTTGGGAGATTTCTGTATGCATAGACCTAGTAGGTTCCTCTTGCGTGAGTAGTCCGCATGTGGTTTCTTGGTATCTTAGCTTTACCCTTCAAAAAGCCCGGTGTAAATACCCCTAACAATTTCTTTTCTTCTATTTGAAAGGCAGTGCTCCTGCCGGTTACTCGGAAAAAAAATGTTGCTACAAGGCTGAATGTTTTTGTCAGTCATGTGGTTTAATTGATATATGCTTTGTGCTATTGTGACTTGAGCTCCTTTGGTAAATAGGGAAGATTTTGAGAAGAATGGCCTAAGCAGCCTTATTACAGTTGCTGTTCGGGACATACAAGGACAAGGATTCCCAGATGAGTACTCTGGAGCTGCTGATGCTGTGTTCCTGGACTTACCCCAGCCTTGGCTGGCAATACCGTCAGCTGGTACAATGCTACGACAAGATGGTGTTCTATGCTCCTTTTCACCTTGCATTGAACAAGTACAGCGTGCTTGCGAAACTATGAGGTCTTGTTTCACAGGTTGGTTTGTTGCTCTGAATTTGTTACTTACGCGAGAAACTTTATAATGTTCTGGTACGAGTTCACATGATTCACAGACTCGTATAGTTACTTCAGTTAGAAACTTTATAATGTTGATATGAGTTCACATGACTCACGGACTCGTATAACTTCTGTTGTTGCGGAAGTTGACACTGAATGGAGTTAGGCTGTACTTTTCCCAGCTGGTTCTTTTCCAATGATCTGCCTGAGACTGTCATTTCTCACAAGGGCGGGTCTGGCGCAGTGGTAGAGTCTCTCCACTTGTGTGTGGCCTGGAGATCCTGGGTTTGAACCAACCTCCTTGCAGAATTATTGTGCAAGGGGTAAGGCTGTCTAGAAATTCCCTTCCCCAGACCCACCTTGTGTGAGAGCGCCCTTGTGATGAACGCGCTTGATTGATTTGTAATATAGCTCAATTTTTGTATGCTTATTTCAGACGTACGATAACATACATAATTGTAAGTTCTTGTGCATTTGCAGTCCAAGCATACGGCTGTCTAGAAATTCCCTTTCCCAGACCCCACCTTGTGTGGTAGCTTTCAGCACTGGGCATGCCCCTGTGATGAACTCATGTCATTGATTATTTTCGTATGCTTATTTCAGAGATACAATAACATACATAAAATTGTAAGTTCTTGTGCATTTGCAGTCCAAGCATAAGCCTTAAGAGTGTTCAAAAATCTTGATGTGATCATCTAAAGTTGTGTGGTTTCTGAAGTCTATTGGAGACCTGCATACATAAAAATGCTCTGAATTAGTTATCAAAGCAGATTCATTGACTCGAGCATCATTTTAATCTCATTTCTACTGCTTTCATATAGTCTCTTTTGGAGGCACAGATTGCCACATCTCTATCATCTCCCATGTCACGCATATAGTTCTAATTTGTGTATGTGTTTTAATGGTTTCTTTAATGGACTCACCATGATTTTGTGCTCAAGAACATTAGATCTCTTGGAGTTCTTCATTTTGTTTCGAGATAAATGATCTAGAGTTGATTGAACCGTGAATGATAAAATGATCATAGTTTGCCCTGTTTAGGGGAAAATAAATAACTACAGAACTTACCTAAAAGTATGGTGATCTTTTATTCCTGAGTTACTCCGTTTCAAGAAGAGTGGTCGGGCGGAAAGTTTATTTTCATACTGTTGTGTTGTTGTGCAGATATTAGAACTTTTGAAATTCTTCTTCGCACCTATGAAGTACATGAAGGTGCTCTGAAGAGTGCAACCGTCAACGAAGCCTCTAGCGAGGGTTGTTCACTTCCTGGGAAGAAACGGAAAATTCGGTCAGCTGGAGAAGCCTTAGACAGTACTCAGACATCCTCTGTTATTGCTAGGCCTTGCAGCACAGCTAGAGGACACACTGGCTACTTGACATTTGCAAGGAAAAGTGTGCATGGGAGCCAAACTGGGGCCGCTGAAGTTTGCCCCACATCTTAGACCAGTAAAAATGCACATTGGTGCCCGAATTTTTCCCATCCGAAGTATGCGCTGTTATTCCTTCATTCATAGTGCACACCGCTGCAGAATTTCTCTAACCTGTACTGAGTTGTAACCATTTGGGGACGTGGTAAAGAGAATATTATTGCCTTCATAAGGGAACAACAAAGTGTGGACGACGCAAGCAAAGTCGTGGCCAGTGGATCTACCTGATGAATTAGGATATGCTCGTAGCCAATGGGCCATGGTACCTTGAGATTGTTGTGAACGGCGTTGTAGTAACTATCGAACTTAAATGATTTATATATCTATCTTTGTCTTTGTGATCTCAACGTATATCTGTAACGTCATCTCTGTATGCAGGCCTTAACTTTTTTATGCTATATCTGTAACCAAATTTTGGCCATCTTTCATTTGGTTTGGTGTGTTGAGCTTGACATCGTGTTGTGCTTGATAGAACTATGCTACACACATTGTCGAGAAAACATCGTCCTGCTCTCTCGTCTCCTTCGTGGAGTTGCATCGAACTCCAATCGAGCTAGATGATTTCTAGTATGATTGATTATAGTAATCGCATGGAAATCGATACGTGCAAGATTCTTGTGACAGGTCAGGTTGCTTGAGAAGAAAAGCAAAGTAAAGCGGAAGCATTCGCTGAGAGATAAACCACGAAAGGGTAATTAATTTAGACTACGCCAAGCGGTGAACAAGTTGATGAAACAAGATATCCAGTGTGCTTGGGTTCTCGGGGACGACACCGTGACAAGGACACAGGGTTACAAGGAACTCCAGATGACCAGCAGAGAACTGATCGCATGGCCCTCAGGTTCAGGGGGAGAATATATACTGCTTGTCATGGTGGGTGCACGGCAGATACCAAAGGATGGCTAAAGAGAGGAGGAGGCTCGAGGGCACCGGTGGGCTTCAGAGGCGAGGTCGGCATGAGCGAGCGAGAGACGCAAGACATACCCAGGTCCGGGGCTCTCCGGAGAGATAACACCCCTAGTCCTGTCGAGTGTGGTTTATATGTGGATGTTACAAGCTTGCTCCTAGAGCTGTTTTGGGGAGGAAGGAAGACTGACAAGAGCATAGGCTGCTCCTTCCCCCGGTGTGTGTTCTACTGATCATGTGAGTGCGTGGTCTGTTGTATGCGTGCCCGTGTACATGAGGGCTCCTGGGGGGTTTTATAGGTCAACCCCCCAGGGTTACAATGGTAAAGTTATAGGACCGTTGGGCCGGGTTGTCGGCGTTCGGGAAGCCGATGCTGGGACCCGACGGGTGCCGGGGCTCGCTAGGCTCTCCGGGCGTGGGCCCCGTGCGCCAGGAGTCACTGTTCTTCGTCTTGTCGATCGTCACGGAGTGGCCGGGTCGAGTCCGCTACAGTGGTGCACCGTCTGGTCGCCGTCTGCTGGCGTCAGCAGTGACGACGGGTGCGCTGTAGCCACGCCGGCCTCGGTCAGCGGGGTAGGTGGGGCACTGTTGCCACGCCTCTGTCGGTCAGAGGAGTTGGTGGGTTACTGTGGTCATGCTCATCCCTTTTATGGAGACTCGTCCCATTGCACGCCTTGGATGGGACGGGAGTTGACCCGTGGCTGGGTTGAGGAACACGCCACGGGGGAGCTGACTTGCTGGGGAAGTCTCGGTTCGCCGTGATTGGCCGGCTTGCACCAGCCATCATAGCCGGGTTGCCGTCTTGACCGGGTCGAAGGATTCGGCCGGGTTGGAGGGCTTGGCCGGGTCGACGGACCCGGCCAAGTGCGAGCCAGATTGAGGGGCGATGCTGACCCCAATGTTTTTGAAAAGGATCCGGGTTTCGTTGCTTGCCCGGGCTTCATCCCGCCGACAGTAGTCCCCGAAGCTAAGAAGGCTTGCCGACTTCAAGCAGGGGGCCTTCGCAGTTTCCCCCCCTGAGAAGGCGGCTGTTGGTGAAGCTTGCGACCGCCGAGTCCGGCAACACCCACTGTGTGCCGGCTTCCAGAAGCCGATTCGTGGCATCCTGGCACGGGCGGGAAACCGAAGAGTCCGTCGAATCTTGGGCATGATCTCTTGGGCTCGGTGCTGGAGCCATGTGGCGTCTGGGAGCTGAGGAGGCATGACAGGCCACACGCGCGACGGGACAGGACGACGGGTCGGGGCCCGCCACTTTGCACCCTTGGCGCGGTGGGTCGGTTGCCATTCTCGAGAAAGTTATTGCGCGTGGTACGTGTGCACTTATTGCGGGGAAGTGGGAGGGGCGGGCGCAAACGATCCCACTTCCCTACATTCGGGCTGCAACTTATAAATTGGGAGGAGGGGGCGGCGGAGATTATTCTCACTCGCGCCCCCATCTTATTCCTTCTCCTTCTCTCTTGCTCTTGTGACCGCCGCGCTCTGCGACGCTCCTCCGTTCTCGAGCAAGACTTCACCACCATTCTCTTCTTGCCTTCTCTGCTCCGCCCCGAACCATTGATGGCGCTACCATCGGGCTCGTGGATGGGATCCACCATCATCGAGGAGGACATCACGTACTTGCGCGACACGAAGCGCCTGCTGAAGGAGACAGAGGTGGTCGTGCGCCTGCCTGACGACGAGCAGGAGCCGCGGCCGGAGGGGACCGAGCGCATGGTCTTCTACACGCACTTCAAACGCGGGTTCGGTCTTCTCGCGAGCGATTTCTTTCGTGCATTCTTGGAGTTCTTTGGGCTCCAGCCGCATCATTTGGGCGCGAACGCCATTCTGCAGCTGTCGGGGTTTGTTACCCTGTGCGAGGGGTACCTGGGGGTCGAGCCCACAGTCGACCTTTGGGTGCGCTTCTTCTTCCTGAAGCAGCAGGGGCCGGGGGCCGGGGAGATGTCCTCCTGCGGGGCCGCCGTCATCTCGACGCAGTCGCACGGGGGGTGCCCCAAGATGCCGCTGGAGGATTCTGCCAAGAAGTGGTAGAACTCCTTCTTCTACATCCACAATCTCGACGCAGACCACATCAACCTGCCGCCCTTCATCGACGCGACACCGCAAGGGAAGACCAACTGGACTTACTTCCCCAAGCATCCGTCATAGGAGGTGCTGAACTTGTGCGCCCGGGTGGCGGAGATGGTGGTCCGGGAGAGGCTCACCAGCACAGACCTCATCGCCGCTTTCATCATGCGCCGGGTGCTGCCGCTGCAGCGCCGCACCAACATCATCGGCCAGATGACCGGCCTTCAAGACCCCAACAGGATGTCGCCCCGGCGCCTGCTGCCGGAGTAGATTGCCAGCCGGGTCAACGATATCTCCAAGGCCGAACTGAAGGAGGAGTAGCGATGCAGGAAGCCTCCCTACGGTCAAGGGAACCCGACATCGGTGGTGAGTCCTTGTACTTTGCTGCTTCTCATCTTCTTCTCCGTCCTGATGCGACGAAGGAGGTGCTGCTGAACGCCATCCGGCATCCGTATGACGGAGCAACGACATAGGTGGTGCGGGCCGGCTCGAAGGAGGCGTTGGTCCTGGGCGAGGACCTGGAGGGGGCCGATGTCAAAGCCGGCGCGGGGCACCGCACGGGTAAGCTTATGTGTTTTGATTTCTTGTGATGCCGGCCGAAGGGCGGCGCGGGGATGCTGACGCGAGTTGGTGATGCAGCGACGCCGAGGGAAGGAGGCGGCGACGCGGCTGGGGCCGGGTCGTCCTGTACGTCGGCAGCAGCTAGTCGGCCGCACGGAAAGGGGGATATTGCGCCCCGGAAACCGGCTGCTAAGTGTGCGGCGGACCCGGCGGCCGGGACCAAGCCGCCCACTAAGAAGAGATGCCGCGCTCCGTAGGTGGCGCCGGCGAGACCCCCCGTCCCGCTGGTGGTTGGGTACGTTTTCTTTCGCTGACTTCCGGCGAGCCGCCGAACGACTTCTTTTTTCCTTATTCTCTTATTTCGTTGTGCTTTAGGTCGTCGATGTTGTTGGCGCTGGCGGCGACGGAGGCCGCGTCCAGCGGTGGCGCCGTTTTCCAGAGAACCCAGTTCAGCGTTATCGACCAGGATGAGGAGACGGCCGACCCGGACCTTGGTCTCGACTCGGACGACACCATGGGCCTGGCCTGGCAGGACCGGAACATAGCCGAGCTGGATATTGAGGTGGCGTCAGCCCAGGTCAGGGCCAGGGCTGTAGCAGTGAGGGGGCGGGCCGCCGGGGAGCCGGTGTGGCCCGAGATGCCGACAGGCATGGATCTGGCGGCGACGGTTTACATGCTGTTGTCGGAGGGGCAGCGCGACCAGGATGGCCGGGTGGAGGTGGAGGTGGACGACCGGGAGGTCATGGATATCGAGAACAACACCCTGTCGTGAACCGACGTGGTTGAGCGGGCGGACAAGGCGGGAGGAGGCGCCGCGGGAGACGCCAGATAGGGCACCTCAGGCGTCGACGGGTGGGGCGCTGCAAGACATGGCGCCGCAGGCGACACTGGCCACCTTGCCGGAGGGGACGCCGGCCGAGGAGGAGACGGCGAGCGGCGAGCACACCCTGGTGATTAGGCAGGGGAGCCGTTAGGCCGCTGGGTCGCAGCCAGCTTGGGCTGGGCCCAGCGAAATCTTCTTCAGGCCTCTGACATAGGAGGAGGCGGCGATGGCCGCCATGAGCCAACGTCTCCGCGGGTGCGCGGGGCAGGTTCAGGCCTTCGCCCAGGCCGAGGCTGAGCGGGCATGGGAGCTGGAGCATGTTGTGATGGTAAGTTCTTCCTTTCATCTTATGCATTTCTTCTTGCAGCTAGTTAGTGGGGGTGCGCTAGCGCACCCACTGGGTGTAGCCCCTAAGATTTGGGCCAACTATGTTGCAGTTGTGTCAAATCTTAAATGCTCCATCTTGTGCTGATCTCTGCTCTCCTCAGCAACTTGATGCCTACTGGGTCGGTGTCTTCAACCGGCTTCTAGAGAAGCACCGACAGCTCAAAGTGCGGCTCACCGCCAGGGAGTAGGCACTCCGCGTCGCCAAAGGTAAGCTTCTCGTGTGCTCTTAGTGGGGACGCGCTAGCGCACCCACTGGGTGTAGCCCCTGAGATTC